GCTAAAACAAAATAGAGAAACTGCTCATTCACAATCAACTGTGCTGAGCTCAGCATCTCAAGAAAAAGGAAGATGAGAGACTGCGCCTGTTATGGAGAGCTTGCACTTTGTAAGTGCCCCAGACACAAACCCAAAAAACATTTCAAGGATATTGTTAAAGACAACCTGAAAAATCTTGAAATTAAAGTAAAAAAAAAAAAAAAAGAGTCAGAGAATAGGTCTGATTTTTGAATGTTAGATTTTGATGGTTGCAATCATTTTGAGGTCAAAAAGGTTGAGCATTTGAAATTGAAAAGGGCTCTTAGAAAAGATGATATAGACTCAATCCAGGAAGATATTCTGTGAGAGTTTGTAAATAAGGCATGAAGATAAAATAATAAAGCCCAAACAAAAACATTATTTTTCTTTTACCATGCATATAATTGTGAATCTGTAGAATTTAACATTTTAAATGGTACAATGTTTAGAGTAGACTTTAAAATTTTTATTTAAATATAAAGTTAGATAATCAATTAAACAAAAAAGGTTATACAACAGAGGATATTAAAAAGATTCATATATTTTTTCAATTTCATTTCCATTTCTTCTTTTTTTTTTAATTTAATGCTTTTTTTTATTAATTCAAACATGGGAATATTTTCTTTCAGTTGAGATTTAAGATTTCTTCCTTTCACATTTAAGACGGTTTTATTCACACAGATTGAAGGAGTTTGGGTTTTTTTTTTTTTTTAAGATTTAAGCTGAGTTTTGTGGGTTTTTTTTAAATGTTTTTATTTTTAAATTGAGTTTTTTTGGGTTACTTTTTCAGATTTAAGATTTTTTTTAGAAATAAATCTTTTTATTTATTTTATCCATTTTCTCAGATTCAAGGTATTTGTTACAGATATAAGGTGATATTTTTCGTAACTTTTTTTTTTCCCTTCCAGATTTAAGTTCATTATTTTTATTTTTTTTCATTTATTTTTCTTTCAGATTTATGAAAGGCAAAGACATATTGGGTGAGTTTTTTCTTTCAAACAGGTTTTTCTCAGCTTTAAGTATTGTCATTTTTCTGTATTAATATAAGTTAAGTTTCTTTTTCACAAAGAGTTAGGGTGTTTTTCTACCAGTTTTAAGACGCCTTTGTTTTTCTACCAGTTTTAATATGTTGGGTTTTTTGTGCCACACTTAACATGATTTTTGTGACATTTAAAACCACACACTCAAATTAACTTGCTTAATATTCCCTATATTAGGAAAATGGAAATTATGAAACATTTTTACATGGTTTATTCTCCGACTATGTTGTTCCTCATCAGGCAAACACTTGTGCTAACATTTTCTTTCATCAAATAATATTAAAATATCTCAAACCAAGCAATTGTCAAAGAATCTGTCAAGACAAGTAAAACAATACAGCACCTCAACATGGAGTAATGGTTAACCAAAATGTCTCTCAGATCATTACTAATGATTAACTTGGTGCCACAAATGTGTGGTGAGAAAATTCAGAAAACCAAAACATCTGACAAAGTTTAAACTGATGAGTGGAATACAGCATTTTTCAAACAAGAGTTTAGTTCAGTTTAGTTAAAAATTAACTACAGCACTTCTTCAATTATTCAAACAGGAGTCAAAAAAATACATTTGGATAATTCAAAATTCTGTATACTTGAAGACCTAAATTATCAAAAAAGAATGAAGAAAAAAAATCATTTTGATTTATATCATCAAGAAAGTTTTGTCCAGTTTATTTTTATGGAAAAAAAATAAATAAATAAATAAAAAAAATAAAAAAAATGAATTTTTTTTTTTTTTTCGTTTCCAGCTGGCCTCACTAACTGCCCCAAAACTGGATTAAGGTAGATATATTTGTAAAAGGTAGCTTCTATTTTAAATAGCAACCAACTATAACATTTGTCAAAAATCAAAATCATTGCTTTACTGTTTGAAATTGGGCATTTGAAATTCAACATAGACAATATCATCATCATCAGCATGGTTATGAGATCAACAATACACTTTGTTACTAGAGTTCAAGTCCAGTGACTTCTGCATTGAATCAGTTGTTTATTTACAACTCACTTAATCAAAATGTTTCTGCAAATTGCTTAGTAAAATCTTGAAATGGGTTTAGTTTGAATAATCAAAAATGGATTGAATGATTTCAATTTTTCTCTTCATTTTTCAGGGTTTGGAAAGAGAAAAAAAAAACTTTACAGAATTTAATTTGTGAAATTTCATCATTGATAATTTATTCAAAATGTGAAAAAATACATTCCACTTTTCTTTTTTCAAATCTATGCCTCTTTTATGTGTTGTTAAATTATTTATCTTCCTATGAGAGAACATCAAAGACAGGCATTTTTAACAATTAAACAAAAAAAAAAATAGTGCGAAAATAATACTTTTATTGAGACACTTTGGACAAGATTAGTTACAAAAATCTGACAATTTCCCTTCTGGACATAGGTGATCATGGCTCTTCCCAACCTCCTATTCCTTCACATCTCAACACAAGATTATCATAGTTCTTCGGAAATAAATAGTTTCCGGTTGACTTATCTATATCTTAAATTCAAAGTTATCCTTTTGACTGGGTGCAAAGTGCAAACTATAACAAGGGATCCCAGTGCGTTAACCAATAGCTGAAGGTGATGAAGGATTCATCCCTTTTCCAAGGGTATTAGTGTGGACACAAAACAGCCTCGATCGAAATTTGAACTGGCAATCAGGAGGAACTAGGGTGCGAGAAGAGTTGCTTTTTACCTTTTCGTACGATAATACCAAAGAGAAACTGGCGGTGGGGGGGATTACAGATACCAAAATGAACAATTCAGTTATTTTGTCCCCAATAAAAAAACAAAAACATATTTCTCGTGTGAGCAACCATCTACTCAATCAATACACGTCACATTTAGAAACAGAAATAAATAAAGTAAAATTTGAATTTGATTAATAGACAAAGTATGTTTAGGATGAGGAGAATCACCTTCAGGATCTTAATAAATAATAAAATTCATTACCAAAAATTCTTTCTTAAGCTAGTTTCTTTTGAATTTTTTTTAGAGAATAGAAAAATGAAAATAATTATCATTTTTGTCAATATGCGTTTTGATTTTTAAAACCCCATTTTTTTTCTATGAAGATTGAAGATTGTTTTTAAAACTTATGCTAATAATCTAAAAGAGCGGAAAAAACATTAAAATCAAAGACACCTGCCGCCAAATTCTTTCAAAATATTCCAACCAAACCGAAAACCATTCATTCATTCATTCCAATTCTTTTATTTTTAATGAGTCACGTGGCTATCTTACCAAAAAGTGTAATTGATACTCATCAAAAACTTTTTTCTTTTTTTTTTTTTTTTTACTAATGTCTATTTTTTTTAACTACTCTAATTAAAACACCTTTTAAAAAGTCTTGCTAAAAAAAAGCGATGTGGGTCGCCTTTTTATTTTATTTTTTTTTCTCGTGTTTTATTTTGAAGAAAAAAATGATGGCAACATTTTTTAAAAAAAACTCTGGTTTTTCTTGTTTATTTTTTTCCGCTGTATTTTTTTTAAAGAGAAAAAATTATAACGCGAAAAAAATCCTGATGCGAAAACGAAATGTGAATGCAATTATTATTGTCAATAGGAAAAGGAGGAAAAACTTAAAATGACATTTCTTCAAGTTGGTTTATTATTTATTCCAATGTCCGCAGGTTTATTGTTTTTTAGAGGGATATTTAAATAGTAATAATTTTTTTTAGAGTTGTTACCTAACCTCATATTCAGGATAGATGATGATTGGCCCAATGTCGAAATTTAAAAAAATTTTTTTTTAAATTACAAAAAAAGTTCATTAACCATAATAATTAAAAACTTTAAAAAAAAAATCATTGGGGGAGGGGAATAAAGTTTACAAACAATCTTTTTAGAACAAACGACAATTAAATTTCAATACATTTTTTTAATTCAATTAAGAGATATTAATTAATTTTTATTATACGTATTGGTAATTGCTTTCAGTTTTAATAAATTAGTGCTTTTTAAGACTTTAAAATCAGATTCCGATCTGAACTAAAAATGATTCATGAAAAAAATAAAAATAATAATAATAATGATGCGTGTCGGCGATTTCTTTTAAAACATTCGTAAAAAAATAACGATAAAAACGGCATCTTATATTTTTTTAGTCACTTTTCAAATTAAATCTCTCAGATTTTGACTAAATTTGCATGAGAGCAACATTAAAAAAAATCAACATTATTTAAAAAAAGAAAAAAAATCAATTTTTATTTTTATGAACTTTCATTGTCCGTTTTTATTTAAAACTCTTGCTTTTAAAAGCAAAAATATATTTTTAAATCACCTTTAGTTTTACTACAACTCATGAAAGAAAAAATCCGTATGGACGATACAGAGGAAAAAGGAAAGGCAAAGAAAAAGGCTTCATTTTAACTTCAACCGTGACAAGCAATGATACAGACTTCATTTTTTTTTTTTTTTTTTTTTTTTTTTAATTCGTTTGTTTTGTCTTCATTTTTACCCCGATTTCATTCATTTACTTATATTTATTTAATATTTATTTTTTACGATCTCTGAGAAAATGATTTACATTTATATATGGTTAAGTGAAAAAAATTTGCAATATGAAGAAAGTTAAAAAAAAATTATGGAATAAAAATATACTTTTTAAGTCCAACATGTCAGATGTAAACACAAACGAAACTAAATAAAAATATAACGTTTGCAATTGTTTCCCCCTCTCACTGGAAGTTTTATTTTAGTCTTAAAAACAATTTAAAGAAAAAAATGTAGTTTATTTGCTAAAATAAATTTATAATCGGCGAATCATGTTTAAATAAATTATTTAAACAAAGACATTGAAGAAGAAGCAACATGACATTTTCAACCACGTTTCTCTATTTTCATTTATTGTATTATTCTAATTCTTGTCATATAAGAAAAGTGAAGCGTTAATTTTTACACGAATTAATAAAATGTTTAAAATAAATAAGGAAAAATAAAACTTACCTTCACTTGCTCTTATTTCCGTTTTTTTTTTTTAGTCCAAATGATTAATTAATCAACAAAGTAAAATTGACGTTTTTTTTTTTAAACTTTCAAAAAATAAAGACATTGAGAAGTAATATAGGTAATAATCTCTATTTTTCCTCTTTTTTTTTTTTTTTTTTTTTTTTTTTTTTTTTTAGGATGAGTGAAATAAATAATTTATTTCTTTTTTCTCTTTTTGGGCATTTTGGATTAAATCTGCCGATGTAAACATACCCAAGTGATGATGATGATGAACACAAGGAATTATTATTGCACTGTTATTATGTTTCTCTTTTCTTTTTTGTATTTGATTTTTTTTAAACTCTTCTTATTATTACTATGATTTGTATTTGCTTCAGTGGAGTTTTCCTTTCGCAATGACAACATTTATTTCTCGTGCAGAACTTTGCTGACTTTATTCGAAGAGGATAATTTCTTCAAGAAAAAAATGTCATGCGTGTATGAAAAAATCATTCATTTCGGAATATTATTTTTTTTTCAGAACCACCTATAACTGACGATGTAAGCCATGCTTTTTTCCTTTTCATATGTTGTTATAAATGTGTTGTATTATTATTTGTGTCCGCATCATCATTTTTCCCCATTGAAAAGGAAAAAAAAACCGTTCCGTAGTGTTTTGAAAAAATGTGTTCTATGTTGATAAAGCGCAAAGTCGGAATTACTTCCCTTGTTAAAGTCGCTCTCTCACACGTGTGGGAAGAAAGACAAAAATTACAGGGGGAGGTAAATTACGTTGATATTTTTAATTTATTTATTTATAAGATTCAAGTCAAGATATACTTTTCTTTTCATATCCGTGACCATGTGAATTTTATAACAGACACTCATGCATGAAACTCGTTTAGTCTTGTCTTGACAATTGATTAAATCAATAATTTTGTATTTGTGACATTCATGATGACACTTACACTTGCTTAAAATAAGAAAACTAATTTCAAGCCCAAAAATTAGTTTTCTATGGCGCAAATCAATCATTATTTTTATTATCTTTATATTACATCTTTATTAATTTTTTCAAAATTTTAGTTTGCTCCCCAAATTCTAAGACTAAAAAAAATGAAATGTGAAGATAATGATATTCAGTGAATATACTTCAGTATTTTGTTAAGACAAGGCTACTGAGCAACAAACAGTATTGATTTCACTCTTCTAGATCCACTGCTGATATCCTAATTGTCCTTACACACAGAATCAATGAGTCGTCTATGGATACAATAAATTCATTACAAGGACAATCACATTAAATATGAAAAATCTTCGATAAAGTGGAGCATAGACAGTTATTAAACAAATTCTCCAGCTATGAAATCTCTGGAAAAGTTTTTACATTTATCAAGCCCTTTCTAACCGATATTTTCATGAAAGTCACTGTTAATGGCTAATCTTCTCAAGTCACAAGATCAATACAGGCATTCCCCAAGGCGATCTTCCTTTTAACATTTGACACGCTGCATAATTTATGAATATTACTTCATGTATATGAAATCACATCAAAATATAGTTTTTTATGTATTAGTTCTATATATTTGAAATTGCAGCGATCCTGATTCTCAATTTCAGTCAAGAGTGTTTTAGGTATTGTCATAGAAGGATATACCCAAGAATATAAGCAAATCTTTATTAATTATCTATACAGATGATACAAGTGTAAAGGTGTACTGCAAAAAATCTAGATGACCAGAGTCTCAATAGAGGTGGAACTTATAACATCCAATACTTCCAAAACCAAATGAGTAATTTTTCATCATCACCAAGCAAACCCCGAACTTTTGCCTATCATGATGAATGGTTGTTCTTTCACAGAGACTCCTTGCCATGAACATCTGTTGGGACTCAATTTCACCACAGACTACAAGTGGAACATATATACAGTCTATCACTGAAGACACTGGATAAATAGTCCCCGTTCCTTGTACTATTCCAGAAAGGAACTGACTCCTCCTACTATGATCTGTCTTTAGCCAGATCAGACCAAAAATGAAATAATGCTGCCTCATCTGAATTAGAGCTGACCCTATCCACACTTTCCAACATTTGACAGAGTTCAAAAGCATCTACACAGCCTTGTAGATGATTATTTTTCCACTCTACAACCCCTTTCCCTCAGACAAACTTTATTGTTATTTCCATAAAAAATATTCTGATAAGCTACAGACCTTCATAGCTAAGACTCGCCATATCATGTACACTGACGTAAAACATCTCTATTTCCTTTATCCTCCATTCAGAAAGCTTCTTTCCAAGAACCGTTACTTTGTGTAACAAACACCCATGGGGATACTTCCCAATCATTTCAATCTTAATCTCTTTACATCTATGGTTAATTTATCTTTCTTACATATCCTTATAATGTGCACTTCTTACCCCCCCTCATGTACATTCAACAACCTCATTCAGCAACACTCTACTTGGGGGCTCTTGGGCCTTGATTTGGATGAACAATTATTAAAAAATGTCATATTCACAAATTCTACAAGATAAATTGTTATATTCCGTGCTAATAGGCATATATACTTGAAAAACAAGGTGGATAAAATAAGTAAAGTTTATTGTAACAAACCAGTACATTAAGAATAAAGGTAACAGTTATGCACAAGTCAATCCAGTAGTGAGTGCTACTATTGGAAGGTCGGTTGTTCTCGCATAAGTCTGAGTTGTACTCAACAGATTCCAGCTAGTAATATTTACCAACCTCCCCACAGGGTAGAATGTGGCACAAGGCCAAATTTAATGTAGGGTAATCCGAGACTGTAAGCTCGGACAAAAATTCCCCATAAACCCCACATAAATGGGTTTGGGTCTGTCATCCTCAGCGGGCGAGACTCTGCCCTTCGGCATAGTCATGTCCTGGTTCTTCTCTGCCCGAAGACAGAGAGTTCGAAAACAGCTAAGTGCTGAGTAACAAATCTCAGCTAGTCGGTATTTACCAGCCTCCCTCATGAGGTAGGATGTGGCACAAGGCCGAGTTTAACATGTGTTATCTGAGCCCATAGGCTCGGCCAAAAATTCCCCATAGAACCCGCATAAACGGGTTCGGGTCTGTACCTCAACGGACGAGACTCTGCCCTTCGACATCGCCTCGTTCGGGTTCCTCTCTTCCCAAAGGTAGAGAGTTCAACAGCACAGCTGGAACAGATTCCAGCTAGAGTATCTAGCAACTGCCCCACGCAGTCACATGTGGCACAAGGCCGAATTTAATGTGGGGTTTCCGAGCCCGTAGACTCGGCCAAAAAATCTACGTAGACCCCACCTTAACAGGATCGGGTCAGTCTACCAACCCGAACAAGACTCTGCTCTTCGGCATAGCCTCGTCCAGGTTCCTCTCTGCTCGGCGGCAGAAAGTTCGACCATCACAGCTGGAACAGATTCCAGCTAGGATATTTGTCAACCTCCGCATGCGGTCAGATGTAGCACAAGGCCAAATTTAACGTGGGGTACCGAGCCTGTAAGTTCGGGCAAAAATTCCCCGTAGAAAACGGGGTCGGGTAGCTGTCTAGCACCCCAGATGAGACTCTACCCTTCGGCATAGCCTCGTCTGGGTTCCTCTCTGACCGAAGGCAGAGAGTTTGACAGTACAACCGAAAAAGATTTCAGCTAGGATATTTGATACCTGCCTTATATGAATTAGAGAAGTGAAAATGATTGAATATTGATGAAATAAAAAAATATTACTGAAATATATATGACGTGCATACAAAAATTATGGGGCATGAAAAAATTAATTTTGTACATTTCACAAATTTTATTTAATCATCCACAAAATACTACCATTGGAAGTTAATATACTTCTTCCAACTATCCTGCTATTGCTGGTAACATCTTTGGAATGCCTTCTCTAGAATGCCTTCTCTGGAATGCCCTCTTTGGAATGCCCTCTCTGGAATGCCTTCTCTGGAATGCCTTCTTTGGAATGACTTCTCTGGAATGCCTTCTCTGGAATGCCCTCTCTGGAATGCCTTCTCTGGAATGCCTTCTCTGGAAGGCCTCCTCTGGAATGCCATCTCTGGAATGCCCTCTCTGGGAATGCCCTCTTTGGAATGCCCTCTCTGGAATGCCTTCTCTGGAATGACTTCTCTGGGAATGCCCTCTCTGGGATGCCTTCTCTGGAATGCCCTCTCTGGGAATGCCCTCTCTGGAATGCCTTCTCTGGAGTGCCTTCTCTGGAATGCCTTCTCTGGGAATGCCCTCTCTAGAATGCCTTCTCTGGAATGCCCTCTCTGGAATGCCTTCTCTGGAATGCCCTCTCCAGAATGCCTTCTCTGGAATGCCCTCTCTGGGAATGCCCTTTATGGGAATGCCCTCTTTGGAATGTCCTCTCTGGAATGCCTTCCCTGGAATGCCTTCTCTGGGAATGCCCTCTCTGGAATGCTTTCTCTGGAACGCCTTCTCCGGAATGACTTCAGGAATGTTATGGAACTCCGCAATTGTTTTTCTCATAATTTCTTCTTGCAACGTAATTGCTCCCCTTCCAGCATGGTTTTCAGATTGGTGAAGAGCCAGAAATCACATGTTGCCAAGTCAGGAGATTAGGGAGCCTATCAAGCAAGTGGTGTGTTGTTCTTGATCAGGAAAGCTTGGATTATGTGGGTGGATTGAGCAGGTGAATTTAGCCAGCACTCTCCACATGCACAAATCAATTTCCTGAATTGTTACACAACAGTCTTCCATGACTATTCACCAAACCTTCTCAATCAGCTCCTCGTTTCAACTTCTGCAGGGCCTACCCAAGTGTACTTTGCTCTCCACTGAGGTGCAACCATATTTGAAGCAGTTTTACCACTCCTTGACTGAGTTTTGTTCCTGGCATCATCACCAAAGGCCTGATGAATCTTCTGGATGGTTTAAGCTTGAGTATCACCAAGCTTTTGGCAAAGCTTAATGCAATATCTCTCCTCGATGTGTTTGGTCATCTGCACAAAAAGGAAAATCCGATGAACACACACTACACATTTGTACTCTAGGTGTAACTGCCGGGAATTGATGCAACTTACTGGTGCAAAAAATTTTCACATATATACAGGAAGGGTGGTGTCACCTTCCATCTAAATAATTTTGCCTATGCTATATTAGTTTTGATGGGGGGGGGATAAAGTCGGATACTTTTGAACACACCTCTTATTTCAATAGCAATGTGAAATAAAAAATAATAGACCTAAGAAATGGCCCCCACTTAAAATAAACCATAAAAATTATTATTAAAAATATATAAATCTCTATGTATGTATGGAATTTACAAAAGGGTGTGTGTATTTTATGTGAGGTGTGTGTTCAATATGTAAATAAAGAAAATAGAAGCATACAAAAACTTTGGTTTCTACCACAGACCGTTTACTCTCTTTTTTATATAAACTGTATTGAAACAAAATTCTCAATGTCTCTTGAGTTATGTCCATTTTCCTTTTGGTCTAGGAGTTAGAGTAAATAAATATAAGTATTGCATTAATAGTCAAGTTCAAGTCAGCCTTGCACTGAGTTAGAATGACCAAATGAAGGTTTGTACTTACTTTATCACTAGAAGGTTTAAATATAGTAAAATAGATAATCAGCTACCTCGAAAAAGAGTTTGTGTTTTATGTGCAATCTGCCAAAGAAAAATTACCAAAAAGTAGTTAGCCAAAATCTACTTTAAGGACCAGAATCTATGCTAATGTTCTTCCCTCCCCTGAATGGCGTGACCAATCAGAAAGATCTCTCGGTGAACAAAAGTCGTTGTTTTTCGCTTATGTGAGGATTAGATTTTCTGAGCTTGGTGATAAATATATCCGTTAAAATGAGATGTTAGTGTTATTTTCCTATTTGCATAATTCAAGAGACAATTCATGCATCGCACCTTATATTTTATTACTTAATCGATTACAGGCAAAATATATTTGTATTAAAAATTATTAATAAAATACAATATCCCTACTGAATGGATACCAACTTGAAATAAAAAATAACTAATAATTATATAATTACTTATAATTTATGAAGAAAGATAAAAAAAATACACAACATTTAAAGCGTCTATCAAATTATTAATCTGCAAAGTTTCATCTTTTAAACATGTATAGTTATTAAGTTATTAGAAATGTTATACTTTCTGAGTAACACAAATTCAAATAAAGACAAGCATTTTGAATATATTTTTATCTTTAATACTAAGTCCATATGCCAAATATAAATAAAAGACAATATATTCAGTTGCCAGTCTGAGTCACAGTCAAAGCCAAAGAAGTAAGAAGAGTCATTAAGAAATCTTCATGGGTTTATTTCCTGTTATATGAAAAATGTCTTCAGAAGAAGAAGCATGACTAAAAAAGAAGATTTTTTGTAATACCACAACAATTTCTTGAATAAAAAAAATTGTTGTATCTGCACGTTATCTGCTATCTTCTTTTTCTTGTCTTTATGAACAAATTGAATATTTTTACAAAGGTCAAATTTTCTACCCGTCAGCCTTCCAAAATGACAATAAATGATAGTGTCCATAAAGTTCGTGTGCACTTTAAAAAATTTATAACTTCATTTGCATTTGCGATAGAAATAATCTGTAAAAAAATGTTATAATCCAGTGTTTCAACAAGATGGAGTTCCTTGTCACTTTGCTCTGCGTGTTAGAGAGTTTCTAAATCAGGAATTTCCTAACAGATGGATCGGAAGGGGTGGACCATTTTATTGGCCTACACGTTCGCCAGATTTGACTCCATTAGATTTTTTTATGGGGACATGTGAAAACAATTGTGTATGCAACCAAATCTAGTTCATTAGAAGATTTGAAAACTAAAATAACTAATGTGATTTCAAGCATTATTGTAAATCAGTTGGCAAATGTTTTCCGTGAACTGCAAAATCGTATTACCCTTTGTATTGCTAATGATGGAAGACATGTGGAAACTTAAATAAAATTTGAATGAAACCTTAAAAAATATAGATTTACTTCTTTCTAATCCTTTTTACGAATTATTTCTATAGCAAATACAAATGAAGTTATAAATTTTTTAAACTGCACACGAACTTTATGGACACACACCCTGTATTTCAGATTGTTGCCTATATTTAATAAAATCTATAAAATTCATGACATTGACTTCACACAGGAAACAGAATAAAATGAAACACACTCATTGGCCAAATGAGATTATTAAGACAATAAATAGAAACATAAAAGCTTACCATATTTTTAATTGCTAAATTTCGTTGTAAGTTGATTTATTCAATTAAAATTATCTTCTATGATGATAAAAGAAGCATGAAAATGCTTGGGAATTCATTTTACCAGGGTTCAGTTATATGCCATGCATGATACACACTTAGGTGATCATGTATCTTTTGATACATCACTGACGAGGCAGATTTTTTCCGCAGTAGGTTGCCATTCCTTTCTGCGGTAGACCAATTGCCATCCAAGACTATAGAACCCAGTCTGTCCTGCTATTTACCCATATCTAGGGGGAGAAGAAGAAGATTCATACCTTTCCAAAGGATATTAGCACGTAAGTGAATGTAATGGATTCGACTGGAATTCAAACTCGGCTCTCCAATTCCTCAATCTGAGCTGTTATCCATTACCCCACCGTGCCTCCTTGTTTTACCATAGTAGACTGACATAATTTTGATAAAATCATTAATTAAAATCATAAATTTGTAGAGATATACACTGAACTTCAGAGAAGTATGTAGAAGACGACACGTTTTCATCTTTTTTTCTATAAATTTTGTTTTCATTATTCAGAGAGTGTGAGAATATTTCTTCAGGAGAAAATCAATGATAGGTGGAGGAGAGTAAAGTCAGAGAAGCGGAAGAAAAAGAAGATGTGATTAGTAAAAGGCAAGTAGGAGAAGAGGAGAGATTTGATGATGTGGAGGAGAGTGAAGTGATGAGAGAGGACGAAAAAGAAGAGAGGATAAGTAAAGTGCAAGTAGGGGAGGAGGTACATGATGATAGATGGCGGAGATTGAAGTAAAGGGAGAGGAGGAAAAAGAAGAAAAAGATTAGTAAAACAACCAGGGGAGGAGCAACATGATTGTAGATGGATGAGACTGGGGTCAAGGGAGAGGAGGTAAAAGAAGAGGTGATTGGTAAAATGGAAGTAGGGGAGGAGGTACGTGATGATAGATGAAAGTGAGTGAGGTCCAGTGAGAGGATAAGAAAGAAGTGGGTATTAGTTAAATGCAAGTAGGGGAGGTTGAATATGATGGTAGAGAAGAGTGAAATGAAGGGAGAGGGGGAAATGAAGAGGGGATGAATAAAATGCAAGTAGAGGTTGAGGAACATGATGATGAAAAATGGAGAGGACTAAATTGAGGGGGGGGAGGAATAAGTAATGGAGGTTAGGAAAATACAAGTAAGGGAGGAGGAGAGAAGTGATAATAGTTGGAGGTGAGTGAGGTCAAGGGAGAAGAGGAAAAAGAAGAGGGATTAGTAAAGTGCAAGTTGGGGAGGAGATGGCGGAGAGTAAAGTGAAGGGAGAGGTGGAAATGAAGAGGGGATTAGTGGAGGAGGAATGTAATGACAGATGGAGGAGAATGAAGTCAAGTCAGAAGAGGAAAAAGAAGAGGGGATTAGTAAAATGCAGGAGGAGGAGTGGCAGTAGGAAAATGATGATAGGTGGAGGAGAGTGGAAAAACAGCCTTACCATTAACAAAAAGTGAAAGTGACAAAACAACAAATGAAACTTAACTTTTATTTTATTTTTATTCATATTTTTCTTTTTCTTTTTGTTTTTTTCTTTTTTTCAAATTGCTGATAAAAGCTGAAAATCAATAATAGTTCAGCCTGAAAACATCCAGCAGACAATAACTGATTCTTTTCCAAGAGCCACACCAGTTGATTAAACTTTTTTTTTCTTCATGATTAAACATCATTATCATCATAACGGTATTTTTTATTGAGGCAGAACTAGGATTAATCTCACACAAAGCCAAGGTGGGTCCTGCCTAACATAGAATCTCTTTTCAAAATGATTTGAGGCAAGATTTTACAAGATGATTGAGGCAAGATTTTATCAAGATAACGTCTTTAGGAAAGATGCATTCAAGGCTTGAATCAACATCCTAGCCTCATGCTCAGAACATTGCTGCCATATATGGTCCGATGCTCCTGCTATCTATCTAGAGCTCCTTGATAAAATCCAAAGAAAAACCTACAATATTGTTGGCTCCAAACTGACATCACGGCTTCAATCACTTTCCCACTGTTGTAAGGTTGCCTCTCTTTGCCTTTTCTATAAATACTTTCATGGTAATTGTTTGGATGAACTCTTCACTCTGGTGGCTAGACTCTTTGAATTTAAGCACAGTACTAATCTGGCGACGAAGTCTCACCAATTTACAGTTGAGCTGTAAGAGCTCTATGCTAACAGTTGCTTTTCTCTCACTTCTCGTTTATGGAACTCCCTTCCAGCTTCATGCTTTCCCGCCAACTTTAAACTGCAAATATTTAAATGCAATGTCAATCACTATCTGTTGTCCTTCTGATTGCTCTTTCTCTGTTCTTGCTCCTTAGCAATCCTCCTGTTTCTAACTCTTTCACACCCAATAATCCCTTGTGTCTCTGTGGCTTTACTGCATTACTTAGGACAAACTCAATTATATATATATATATATATATATATATAATGAGAAAGAAAATAATGTATAAATTCTAACGTTCACAGCATTAATTCAAAAGAGGGCTCAATACCGATAGTAGACCAATAATTATTTATTATAATTTTTTCATATAAACAAAAATAATTTACTCACTACAAACATGCAACTTCGTTTCGGTGCATTTAGTTGCACCTCGACTGGTGAGAAGCACTTTTTTGCGGATATGTGTAGAAGATAACGGTTAACCCTAGACTTGAACAGGCCAAGATTGTAGTGATTGGGGATGCCTCCTCTTGGGTTTCAGTTCCACAGAGTACCGCTTTACATGAATAAGCTGCTTGAGCGAAACTTACATCACAGAAATGGAACACAAATGGAATGAAGATGGTTCACTACAATGGTCGTGGCATGGCGGGTCTTAGCCATGAAGGTTAGAACTGTGGGAACTAAGGAATGTAGTTCCCCTGAACACTTTCCATGGAAACAGTGATAGAGCAGTGAGAGACGTTTGATGTTTTGTCAGTAGGAAAGGTGTTGTAGGGTGGGAAATAATGTGTTGCCCACACGGAAATGGAGACCCTTTTGGACTCTATCAAGACTGGAAAGTGAAGACTGGATATCTTCTGCCCAAATATGGCAACAATGCTCTGATCCGGCTCTTGTAAAGGTAGAGGATAGCATGAGGAGTCAGGTATTTATTTGAGCAACACAAGGGAACCGACTATTTTTCAGCATCTTTAATGATGGATCATATGTATGAGCTATGCTTGAGGTCTGTATTGTTTAAGTCCAATAATCAATCAAGGCATGGGGACTCCCTCAGGGAACATCCATTGATCATGACTGGTGACAGCTCAGGATCCAATCAACAATGATGGAATGTAACTAGTTTAGTTTTCAAGGCATTTAATGTAACCAACCAGTTTTCTCCCCACTGAAATGTTTGTGCTAGGTCAGAGGAGAGATGCCAATTTCTGGTCAACTAGAGATTTGGATACCATTGTGTCATGTAAAGTAAAAAGAGAGTTGACCCAAGTAGCAACCCTTGGAGGCCCCGGAAGACTGGCCATTAACAACTAACATCAGGAACCTACCCATTAAGAAGGCCTTTTTCCAGTGATTCCATAGCTAGAGAGCTTGTATAGCAATCCCTTATACCACACTTTGTCAAAGACCTTTGAAATATCTAATGCTTTAGTCCTTAAGACATATTTGTTCTTTGGCTTTTAGAAGATGACTTCTGTTGGACTTTATGTGTCTACCTTCTTCGGAAGATACTAAATAAAAGCGAGGTTTATCTAGTTATTTGGTTATTGTTCCTTTTATTTTCTAATTTTCCTAGAATTTTATGCATACATTATCATCTGGTTTTAGCGGTTGTAGTTCTCTGTGTCTGCATTTTTGTTTGCTTGCAGACTGTATGTAGATTTACTATGTTTAATATTAGGAAGATTTGTGCGTAAAGTCTTCTTCATTAATTTGTAGTAGTTACTTGGTGGTTATGTGTTTGAAAGTACAGCTGCTTATCTTCGGATAACGTCCTTAATCCAAATATACACCAATTTATGGCCTTTCAAAAATGCATGCAAAGATAATTAATACAAAGATATATATTACAAGTACTGATAAAATTTTATATCTCTTAAAATAAAATATACAATGTTTAAAAAGTTCATAAGTTCATATCAGAAAGTTCCCGTGTTGAACATTTAAGTCCTTTAGAATATAAAAGAGAGAGAAAGAGAAAGAGTGAGAAGAGAAAAGAGTCCTTGTAAATGTCTATGTAAGTATGTATGTATCTCTTGATAGTAGTAATTCTTTCGACTCTCTGTGGAATTTTTAGGTGTCGGAAAATAAAGTGTATAAGAGAACGGACAAAATATTTCATCGAATCTCTGTTTGTCTTGCCTGATCGTCTCTGAGTTTATCCTTTTTTCGAGAGAAAGGAATTCATTTCGGAATTAACTCTTGATTTCTGATTGGTTCATAGGATTTATTTGATCATCCCATTTTCTTCACTTGCATTTAGGAATGATGACCTTTTAACCTCTTTTATCTATTTCGTTTTTTATCTTTTTGTTTTATTTATTTATTGCAAACCAAAATTTTTGCCAACATTTAATTATCTACTTTTTATTTTTTTTATGATAATGAGCTTTTTATTTTTCTCTCACAACACACACTTTCGACCCTATTAAACGAAGTTTGTGACATTATTTACATTATTTTAACTATTGTCCTCATCTTTGTCGCCATATTTATCACAACGTTTCGGTCGTTGTACGCACCGGCCTTCTTCCTCAAGGACACATGACACAGTGGATAAAGGCGTTGGTTAGGCCCAGTGACAGGACCCAAAAAGTGTGAGTTCAATACCCGGTTAAAGCAGTGGAGAACTTTCAGAGAGAAATTAACAGGAGATAGATGATAACTGACATCCATTAAACATGGCACGTGGAACTAGAACAGTCTACCCCAGTGAGCGAAATAAAGGGTTCAGTTCGACATTACAATCACCTGAAGAAGGCCGAAGCGTACAACGGCCGAAATGTTGTAATAAATATGGCGACAAAGATGAGGACAATAGTCCAAATAATGTAAATAATGTACATAATACCTCATCTCAGAAATATAGACAGATACGGAGTTTGTAACATTTATTTGTTCACTGTTATCTAATCGTCTTTGTTTGAATCTATAATTTTAATTGATAATAAAAGTATATGTTTTCCTTTTTCCATTTAATCCTTCTTCCAGATTTTGGCCTGTTCATGTTTATTAGTTCCTTATGAATTCGAGAGTGTCTTATTTCGTTCTGGTTGGTATTCAACAGAACTTCCGTTGATCTTAATTTCTGGAATTAATCCTTTGAACCCTGCATTCCTGAACAATTTTAACCTTTCCGCCTAAGCTCCTGAATCAAAATTAGCAAATAATTGGTATGTAATGTTTCACGGTAGATATAAAAATAGTTACAAGTGTTTACCCATTGTTAAACCGGTGGCTGGGCATTGTCATTTTTCTCTACCACTGTTCAACTGGTGGATGGGTAGTACGTCATTTTTCTCTACCACCCGGTAAAGCGGTGGTCAGGGCTCAAATGGTTAATACAGGTTTCATCCTGTCAATTGACACGGTAATATTCACATCGTCGAAAATTTTTATAGTAAAATATTTTTGACTGCGATGTAATACCTTAAATGGATCCGTGTACGGAGGTTCAAGAGGTTTTCGCACCCTGTCGGCCCTTAACTACACACATATTTACAATTTTTCAAGTCTTTGGGAACATACGAATTCAGCAAAGAATGCAGATGACCCTTAGTTGGTCAGACTTGAATTTCTGAATCTCTTTAGCCAAATTCTTTACTTATGAATTTGTTATTTGCGAACCCACACTGTTTTTTGTCTGACTCTTAATATTCGAGGGACTTGTACTGTTACAGCAGTAAATGGCGAATAATTCAATTCATTGGGGGTTATCCTGATTCCAAGACAAGAGTAGAGCTGATAACTATGATTTCTTCCTGGCAATAATTGCAGTTTTAGAGTCCGATGTGCACGTTCCATTAATCCATTTGTTTGTGGGTGGTAGGATGTCGTTCTCAGTTTGTGGAATCCTATTATCTTCGAGAGTTCTGAAAACAATTCCGATTCAAACTGACTACACCTGTCTGTAACAAC